CAACCTCGCGCCCGCGCGCCCGTTCAGCAACCCCAACGACCACCATCTCACGCCCAGCGACCCTCAACAGCTCCCAGCAGCCTCCATATCACCCAGCAGCAACTGGCACGCACCCAGCAGCCTCGACGAGCCACCAGCAGCCACCCGGCACCTCTGCACAAGCCATCTCGTGCCCACTCAGGTCCAATCGAACCTAAACTTGTTTTCTCGTGCCGTTGACCAATTTTTGAACCTTTGACCCCATTTTTCCGTGCTAAACCTATTTTTGGCTCTTTTTAAATTATTTTCCAAGTGTTTCTTTAAAATACAAGAGTTCCAAATTCCACAAAATTCCACAAGCTACTTAATCGATCATTTCGACTAAGTATGAATTTCCGATGAAATACCCAACTTATCAAGATAAATATTCTGAGATATTATCTTGATTAAATGTAGGTGTTTGAGGAGTCGTGCCTGCTACCTTCCTTCTGTTGATCATCGTGTTTTTGCCTATCTCGACTGATCAGGTGGATGTTGATAAACCTTACCGTGTTCGTTATTATTTATAATTGTTTGGTTTGATAATCAATGTATGCATGTGAACCATTAGTGTATGAGAGTGTTCTCCGTTGATGTTGCGCCGATGTTACAGCCCTTGAGTATTGCTTCCACTGATGGAATTTGTCAGTGGTAAGTTCCTGACGAGGGGTTTTGCTGTCAGGAGCTGTGTGTACATATGAGATAGTACTAGGGTTGTATAGGAGGTGGACTAGAGAATTTGTGTTCATGTTGCGATTATGATTTTAAGTCATTATACTGAATAGACTGCATGGTATTCCCACGGTGAGCTAGTTGGTTTGCTCACCCCCATTATTTTTCTCCTTTCAGGTTGAGCTGATGGCAGCGGCAAAAGACGGGCGAGTGTGATCATAATTGCCTGTTATTTATGAATTGCTTTTGTTTTTGCTATTTGTTATATTTTCACCAGACGTATATAGATGTTGGATTATGAAGCTGAATTAAGATGCATGTTTTGAGTTCTGATTTGGAACCGATGATATTGATATTATTTTGAACTTACTGATGAACATGCTATACTTGTCTGGTTTATTGAGATGTTAAGTGTTATTCTAGGATGGTTTATTCCCAGTGGCTTGAGTTGGTACTTCAGTTTTGAATTGAGTTTATATTGAGTAATGCCCGTTAATCAATTTTAAAATGATTTGCGAAAATTCAACTATGATTTTTGAAAAAAATCGGTATTTTTTTTGAAATAAAAACGAGGCGTTATATAAATGTTATATGCATAGTTGAGATTATTTACAGTCACTGAGTCACTGTGCGCCGTGTTGATGACGTCCCCGAAATGAGTTCAAGGCGTTCCTTATGCTAAACACTGTAAGTGGATTAAGTTTCAACATAATGAAAAAGATTGGGTGGTACTAATTTTGGATATGCGAAGTTGATTAATTATATTTTAGTAATTAAATTAATCAACGAGCGCTAGATCTTAAACATGGGAAGATAAATCGAGTAGATAAATCTTGAGAAGAATTAATTGTAATTTGGGGTTAAATAGAAAGTTTAATAATATTTATTTAGCAGAATGAAATATTATTCGTGTGTGACAAGTGTAGGTGGAACAGAACCTCAGTTCTGTTCACACACGGGGAGTCATTATTTAAGACATCCTCTTGGTCCGTATTGTAGCGTTTAAATACATCAAGTCCCAGAAAAAGCCTTAATTTTAATTTTTCTTTTTTTTTTTTTTTTTTTTTCAACACCCATTNGAAAAATCAGCAAAAAGCTGTGAGTTTGAGAAGGAAAAAAAGAACGAGAGACTCTAAGAAACAAAAGAGAAGACAATGATCCAAAACACAATGTCTTCTTCGTTCTTTTCCAGCAATCGATCGGCCAAGCGACTTTGAGGGAGATTCGAGCAGTCGTCGCCCACAAAGATGAGCTGAGAGAGGCGTGGGTTTATGCAGCAGAAGATCGAGGTCAACATGTTTGTCTGGTCTTGTAGGCGTGTAAGTCTGTAGAGAGTCGGTAAATTTTAAACCTTAAGATTCGAATCCTATTGTTAGTTCCACTGCGTGTAGGATTCGATTTCTTAGATTCTCGTTAGATTCAAAGCACGAAGTGATGTTCTTCACCGAACCCAACAACAACAACAACAACAACAACAACAACAACAACAACAACAACAACAACAACAACAACAACAACAACAACAAGGTTTGGTTTCTATTTATTTAAAAACAATCAAGCCTAAGCTGCTATTTAAGTTAGAAAACTTGCTCAAAAGGTGATTATATTAAAGCCACAATTTTCATAATCAGACTGAATCAGAAGGTTCACTCGTTTGTACAAGGAACCGATCTGTTGATCATTCTTGTTCGCTGGTAGGATGATGGCGCACTAGTTAGAACCGATTTTTTTGAATATAAATAAACATATATTTTTAATATATAATGGATATGTAAACATTATTTATCAATTAAGCATTTGAATGTTTTTACTTATCTAAATATCAAATTAATGATGTTATATAAAAGTTATTATATAAAGTATTGTATAAATCTAACAATATTAGTAATAAACCAAATACCAGTTCAATTACTAATCTAACCATTGAAGCTTGATCGATTCAATAATCAACTCGATTATGAAAATATTGGTTTAAGATTAGCTTCCGAACAACCAAACTCCTATGTTGGTTAGCGAAAATTTTGTTTAGAGGCCATGTTATTATTAAGGCCTAATTGCTAATAAAATCATGAACTTTTTGGTTTTTGCAATTATATGCACCACCTTCTAACTTGACAAATATACACACCACTTTGACTTCTGTTAACAATTTGAATCAAAAGGGCCCCATTTAACTTGGATTTCGGGATTTGTCTGCTGGCATAGCTGCTGACATGGAAGTTGGATTTCCGTTCGAACTTTGGGACCTCAAGGTTGCATATTGACATTGTAACCATCACACCAATCTAAGTTGTATGTTAAATTTAATAGTGTTTCATATATATAGACACTACATATGAATAAGTGAAATTAAATTTAAAAGATAATATAATAATAAATAATTTATTAAATTATTATATTCAAAAGTAATATAATCAAATAACATTTTTTTATTTTATTATATTCATTTAAGATTTCTATTTCATTTAATTTATTATTTCATAATAATTTATTTTATTTTATTTTACTCTACCATTTGTTATACTTTATTATTTTAATATATTATTTTTATTTTATTTTAACTGGTGTACTTTAATCTAGTTTATTTTTTAATTTAATTTTATCAT